ACTGTGGTGACAGAGCTCCCTGGTGGCTCTGGGGGCTGGAGGTGGCCATCCTCCTGCCCACTCCCTCTGTGCCGTGGCTGCCGGCTCATGTGGAGCTGACTCCTTCTCTGACTGCCCCCTTCCTCCTTCCCTGCAGGGCAGCATCCTGGGGTGTTCTATGCGACTCTTCTGGGGGAACGGTGTCTTCAGCTGCAATTAAACGTTACCATTCCCAGGATTTGGCAATAGTGGCTCCCAGGTGGGAAGTAAACTCCTGCTGTTTTATTTTCTTGCTTGCCTACAAGGCATAATGATGTAAGGAGTCTGAGATGGAGCATCCTTTTCATGACAGCATTTTTAGGTACAGGTTGCCAACGGCTTTGCTAAAGGTAAGTGTTGTAACCCCAGCTTCATGATTAGGAAACAGAGGGGAGGGAGCCAAGTGGCTTCAGTATGGCAGCAAGTCAGCAGAAAAGCTGTGAGTCACATCACTGTCTCTGTCCTCCTCCTCTGATGACTGCTTCCCCTTCCTCCAGATATTTGTATAACTGCTTACCAACATGCTCAGCTTGAGGAGACTGATTGCTCGCTTGATGGTGTGTAGAAAACCCCTCCTGTATATCAACGTCTAGAGGGCCTATCTATGCCATAGCCTGCTATGGTTGTAAGGTGTGACTGACGTGGCCCCCTAGCCAGAGGTGCGAACTTTGAGAACCAGAAGATGCCACAAGGATCCTGAGAAAAAAGGTGTCTGTTAGTGAGGACACTTTTCTAAGCCTGGAAATTAGTGCAAGGGGACTGTGGTGCTGGAGGACTGTCTGTGAGGTGAGGTGTCTAATTGAGTGTATGGGCTTGCTGTAAACACCAAACATCTTTGCCAACCTCTCCGCCCCAAGAAGCATGTAACAACCGTCCTCCATGTCCTGGTCAGGCTCTCGCAGGAGTCATCACCCACTGAACCTCCTGAAGCTCCTCTAGCAGTTGCATTAGGATGTGCTCAGAGAGCTCCTGTGCTGGTGCTGCCTGCTGGGCCCCTGCTCGAGCACCACTTCAGGGTTCATCACCTACAGATGTTCCTCACACATTTTCTGTAGCTTCACAGGGGCTGGGAAACCCTGGCTTAAAGAAACTAAGAGAGTTGTAACCATGACTTGTTGCCAGTGTGAATTGAAAGCCTGAGTAGCGTACGTAGGGCCAATTACAGTACATCAAGGTACAAAACCCTCTTTACTGGTACTCTCCAGGGAGCCAGGAGACATTGTGGCAACAGGATTATGGTTTGCAGATGACATGCACGATAACTTCACCTAGACACGTGCACCTGTTTCCCTCACTAAGCAGATGTTCGGGAGGCTGTTAAGAGAACATCAGCCTCTTGACAGCACAGCATAAAATGCCGTGTAACCCTGCCTGTTCACACCGCTGTCCCCATCACCTCTGCTGCTTGACAGAGAGCTGGAGCAGCCCTGCCCTGGCTCACCGAAACCCCAGCCCCTGGGGCAGCCTGGATCAACTCCATATTTGAAGGCCAAGCCCTTCACTGGCTCTCTGCCCAGGCAAATCCTCAAGCCAGGAAAGGGAGTTTCCCCCATGTCAGGTGGGTGAGGTTTAGCTGGCTCAGTGCCTGGGGTGTCAGACTTATTGCAATCTCACTTGTGTACCAGCAACTACAATCATTTCCATGTCATGGCAGCATCTTTAAACATGACCTGGCGAGCTGCACAGGGCATAGAGAGACTGGAGTAGAGTTATCACCAGAATGGGAGGAGATGGACTCCTGGCATTGTATTGGACTGTTCTCATCACCCTGGACCGCTAACTTCAGGATTTTTTTCCCCCTTTTTAATAGTTTTTCCCAAATGCAAAATGAGCCTTTTGGATTAATTTGCATGTCTGTGAATGGTGGCTGATGGTCATTCCTGTGGGAGAGCAGAAGTGCAGGTTGCCCCATAAAGCTTCTCATGTCCTAACCAGACTGCAGGCAGAGGATCTCTCCCCTGCATGAGCAAGCAAACCAGCCAACAGCCCAAAGGTGAAGCTGCCCCAAGGTAAACCTGTGTGCCACAGTGCTTCCAACGTAGTAGTTTTCAGCCTGTGGTCTGTAAAAGCTGGGAATTATTCCTGTAGGATCTGCAAAAGGTAATGAAGAGATGGGTGCATGTACACTATGCAGGAGCCAGCACCTGGATGTGGAAGCATTTGGCGTTCACAGATTGGAAAAGACTTAGAATATCCTCTCTAATTCTGGGGGAGGGAAACAAAACCTGCACTTGCATCTTCCATGGTGTGCCTGAGTTAGGAAAATAAGTCGTGTTTGATGAAAAGTGCATCGAGCAGAGGTGTCATTACATATCACTGATACCTCTAATCTAGAGGAAACTTCGTGCACAGTGTTGTGAACCTCTGCAAGTGTGTGCAGCCTAGCAGAGGGAAGACCCGTAATTCCCTGCCAGGGCTTGCTGGACTGGTAGCAGCAGCAGCAGAAGCGATCATCTCATCAATGATATCTAGGGAACTCAGATATTTGTGTGCAATTTGTGGGCAAATTCCTGACTGCTGGCTGCAGTGGCTGCTGGGGGTGGCTTGGAGAGCTGAGGTGCGCACAAGGAATTTAAGATCTTGTTTTTGCCAGAGTTAATAAGATTGCTTCCTCATCACTCTCACCCCCACAAAAAAAGACCTTTTCCCAAGGGTTGAATGGAAGTGGGGAGAGTTGCACAGGGGCTGTCTTAAGAGTCCTTGGATGACCTCGGGGGGTCTGTGTTGCTTCTAGACAGTGAGAATTGCTGTGATTATGGTCTGGGAACAAGCCCTTGCTGCTTCAGGGAAATACATCTGTCGTGTACAAGGTGCAGGTCTGTTGCCCCAAACACCAGGCTTAAAATTACTCCGTGCCCGTCCTCCTCGTTCTCATCTCCTGGAGGTGCCGTGATGTGGGCAGAGTGCTGAGGGGTGCTTGCCTTTCAGCAGCTCTGGTCTGTGCAGACCCTGGCTTTGTCTGTGTGGGTGTGTTGGTATTGAGCAACCCCACCACACACACGGCGTGTGTATATACTGCATTTTAATAGATATAGGGCTACTGACTTAACATACACAGTTGCTATAGTAACAGAGGTTTCCTTAGTAACGGTTGCAGAAAATAATCCAGTACCAATTAAAAATAAACTGTTTGGAAAGGGGGCTGGGGAGAAAGGAAACTGCTGAGAATCACTTTCCCCCTTTATTGGTTCATTTCCCAGGGACTTGGAAAATTGATTAATGCTCAAAACAACCGTTCTTAACCAATGGTGAGCCAAAAAGGTGGGATGAGTGTGGGTGTGGTGGCTAAAGCTGCCATCCTAAAGCGAAACAAAAGGGAAGAAGTGTATCTGGGGTGTGGCAGAAATACAACAGGGTGATGCTGAATCTTTCCATTAGGTTGAAGTCCTTAGGGAGGTAAAACAAGGGACGATTTCCCTCCTTGCCTTCCTCCAGTGTCTGCATGCCATACCACAGCCATGGAGTCTTTATTAGCATCCTCATTAAAGTCACGGGCAATCCAGGCTCCAGGAGAATGTCTGGTGCGATACCAGGATGCCTGTCTCAGGTGCTGTGTTGTAGCAGAAAGTGTCGCTGTGGTGGGAGTTCCTCCCATTTGAAGTTGTTTGCCTGGGCCCATTCTCTCCCTTGGCACCATCACTCATCACTTGTGCCAACAGGCATCCGAGCCCCTGGTGCCCAAGGGAAGCTGGAAGCAAAGTGTGATGCAAAGCAAGGAGCCCGTGCCTCGGTAAGGGAGAGGAGACAACGTTGCTTTCTCGCAAAAGCAGGATGCGTGGGATGTGTTCCAGGGTGTGGATGGGCACAGCTCTCCTGGCAGCCTTCAGTTGTTCGTGCCTGTGGGGGCACGCTCTTGTCGTGCCACTTGTGCCCTGTGCTCTCAATTAGGTTTTGTTAAGAGATTTGCTGCTTGTCAAGAGAATCCCTTCGCCTGGCATCAAGACAGCATTTCCCCTTCCAGGGGGAGCTGCTGTGTGAGGAGAGGCAAAGGAGGGGAGGGCCATGGTGGCAGAGCTGCTGGGAGGAGTGGTGTGTCTGGCTGGCTGGGAGTTGTCCCTCTCCCCTGTCTGTATCCGACAGGGCTCCAGGGCACAGCAAGCACAAGTGTCACAGGAGGGCGCTTCATGCGGTGCTGATGGGAGCACCTTGGGCCAAGGCTTGGGTGACAAGCACAGCCTGAGCACGTGCTGCTGCAAAGGCTCTGGCTTCTGATCCTGCAGGGAGAGAGGAAGTGGAAACCCGTGTGTCTCTGTGCAGGGACAAGAGCTCATAACTTTACCGTGTCATCCTCAGCGCTGTGTGACCGCTTCGCTACCTGCGTGGCAGCTGCAGCTGTGCTTGGGAAGCCAAGGGAGGTGACGTACCTGTGACTTGTCCCAGGCTGTGCAGTCTGTGGTGGACCTGGAGCCAGATCTCCTGGCTGTGGGAGCAGAGCTTGCTCCATGCTGATCCCTTACAGTCTGGTGTTCTTTCTTCTTTTCCGGTTGTGCCTGCGTTTGCTCCCCTAGGTATTGCATGTGTGTGGCTTATGTCTCACTGAGATGGCTGGCATGTGACAGCAGTAGAGTCTTGTTAATTCACTCTTCATGGAAATGGTTTTCTCTGGAACTGGTCTACAGTTCTTTGCCCTGAGGTGCAAATGATATGATTTCATCATGAGAAAAGCCACTGAGTTTGGGTGTAGTCTTCTTGTTATGTTTGGTGCCTGAGACCTCTGTGAGTTAAGAAAGAGACTCTTTTAAAGGTCATACTGTGAAAGAGCAGCCTCTTGCTGAGGGACACGGTGGGAGGATCCAGGAGTAGAGTAGGAGAGGAGGAGAGAAGATTTGGTAGAATATCAAATGCCTTTGTCTTAAAGGCAAGCAGGACCCTGGCAAGGGCAGCCATGCCTGCAGTTCTGGGGGTACTCTCTGGCCCACCCCAAATCAGGTGAGTTTCTTTTCTGTGTTAATGACCCATCCTCCTCCCTTTCTCCCTCACAGTGACCAAGCTGCAGGTGAGCAAGTCGAAGCGGAGCATCACCCTGGTGGAGAACCGGCCCATCCCCCTCAACTGCTCGGTGAAGTCCCAGACCAGCCCCGACTCGCACTTTGCCGTGCTGTGGTATGTCCACAAGCCCTCGGACGCCGATGGCAAGCTCATCCTGAAGACCACCCACAGCTCTGCCTTCGAGTATGGCACCTATGCGGAGGAGGAGGGGCTGCGGGGCCGGCTGCAGTTCGAGCGCTCTGCATCCGGGGGGCTCTTCAGCCTGACGGTGCAGCGGGCCGAGGTCCGAGACAGCGGCAGCTACTACTGCCACGTGGAGGAGTGGCTGCTCAGCCCCAACCACGCCTGGTACAAGCTGGCAGAGGAGGTGTCAGGGCGGACAGAGGTCACCGTCAAGCAGCCAGGTACCTCGTGCTTCCGCCAGTGGGGCCCTCCTGGCATCGACTCCTGTGTGCTTGTGAGCTTGCCAAGCTTTTCTGGGGCAACAAGGATCTTCTGCTCTTCTTTCGCTACAGCCTTCTCACCCTCTCCTTGCACCCTCATGCCTGCACGTCCCTGCACAAAAGGAGCGTTTTCCCTCCTTTGATGTGACCCTCATTCCTTTAGGCTGGGCTGGTGTGCATTTCAGTGTCCCACATGATGGTTATCCATCCCCCACAGCCTAGAGGACCACTGTATCCAGCCAGGTTTCATTATCCTCAAGAGCATCATGTAGCAAGAGTGTCGACTAGCGACCTACTGAGAGAGAACTGGTGTGTGCCTGCCTAGGAAAGCATTTTTATGTCTTGCACACAGTTTAATTTTACTCTGTGCCTGTATCCTGGCAGGCGTGGGGAGCCTTCTCTCTTTTCCCTCTGTGCTGTGCACATGAGATGGGAATAACAAGTTTAATGAGGTGGGGAGCTGGCTGCCAGGAAGGGAGAAATCTGCGCTGCTAGTGGTTTCTGTGGCAGCGGACAGCGCTGGTAAAGGTGGGCTGGTGAAGGAGCTAAATATGGAATATGGCCCCCACAAACTGGGACAGAGCCTTCCTTTGTGCAAAGGGGAGAGGCAGGGAGGCAAACAGTGTCTCTTGAGAGCATCCTGCACCTTGTGTGTGCTGCTGAAGCAGAGCATTGATACTTCACGAAGAAGCCTGCCTTGTCCTTGCTTGCTCCAGGTGCCTGTTTCTGGAAGCACAGCAGGCCATAGCATGCTGCTTGCCACCACTCCCCGCTCCTCATTTCTGTCTGCAAAGTCCCAAGACAGCTGAGGGGTGGTCAGGGAAGGGAGAGCTGTGACCTGCCCCCTCTGCATCACCCACCTCTCTGTGGGAAGTACAAGCCTCTTGCTTGCTGAAGCAGCCGTACCAGGGAAGTCCCGGCTGTGCCCCTGGAAAGACGCCACGAAGGAGTTAGGAGTGTACGACACATGATTTCGCATAAACAGGCTGATTCCAGTCACCCCCAACGTGTATCAATGAAATTGTGGAGCGAAAACCAGGGACATTCCCAAGGCAGCAAAATACTGTGTGTCACTTTGCCCTCCTGCCACTTCTCGTTTTGCAGTGGTGGTTCTCTGTAATCAGCTGTCTGTTCTCTACCTTGCTTTTTTCCTTTTTTCTGTAAAAGGAGGGCTTACTGTTTGGGGTGTGACCAGGCTACTGCCTGGCCCCAGGAGGAGAGTGAGAAAAGACTGAATTGTCTTCTCCCTTCATAAGGTGTCTGTGCATGTAGGACCTCCCAAGTCCTACTGGGAGATTGTGAGTTTTCAGTTCCCCGTGCCAAATGGGGCATTGTTGGTGTCTAGCCTGAGATTTTCAAAAGACCCTAAGAAAACACGAGTCCTATTTTCTTTTCCTCTTTTTTTGTTCCTTTCCTTTCTCCATCAGTTTTTTCCTCTACTTCCTCATTGCTTTCATCATGCCCCAGGATTGTGGCCGTGCAGGAAAAGGCTTGTGGGGAGACAAAGGACCATTGCAGCCCACTGTCACCTCTCATTTCTAATGGCCTTTTCCCACAGATAACCGCCTGCAGGTGAACCAGACCCACAGGAACATCACGGTGCTGGAGAACGAGTGGGTGACCCTGGAGTGCCTGGTGAGCAACCGGACCAGCCCTTCATCCCAGCTCTCAGTGGAGTGGTACGTGTGGCGGCCGGGCCAGCCAGAGAAGGAGGTGGTGGCCTGGCTGAGCCGGCAGAGCACCCTGCACTACGGGGACCTGGCAACACCAGGAGACCTGCGGAGCCGACTGCACCTGGAGAGCCCATCCCCAGGTCTCTTCCTCCTCTCCATCCAAAACGCCACAGTGCGGGACAGTGGGGCCTACAACTGCCGTGTGGAGGAGTGGCTGCTCGACCCCAGCGACCGCTGGTACAAGCGGGCAGAGGACCTCTCCGGGCTCATCACCCTCACTGTCAAGCAGCCAGGTGAGGAGGATTTCGTGCCGTCAGCTTTGGAGCAATGCTGTGCCCTCTCGGAACAAATGCATGAGGCACCACCTGTCAGCAACAGCGGGTCTAGACAGAGGGCAGGGCCGCTGCACGACAGACCGTGCTGATCCTTTTTCACTTGTCTTCTTGGGTGCACCCTTGCTTTTTTGGGAAGGGTATAGAGCAAGTCCTGCAAACACAGCTAGATGGGCTTGGGATTTTGTCACCGCTGCATCCATAAATTATTCTTTTTTCAGCACTTCTGGCAGGTTTAATAGCATAGATTTCTGATTTTACTCATGTTTTGACTGAGAGTAAGATGGAAGAAGCTACCTGTGCTTCCCAGGTGTGTGCCCCAGGGGCAAGGTCCTTGCATGAAAAGAGGGCAACAGAGGCACACTGCTGACTCATTGAGTTTGCTGTTGACCAGCACCCCTGGATCCCTTTCTGCAGGGCCTTTCTCCAGCCATGTCTCTCCCAGTTTTATTTGTGACAGGCATTACTGTCCTAGAGTAATCCAGACATTTCAACTTGTTAAATTTCATTCTGTTAATCAAAGTCCAGTGCTCCAATCTATCTCAATCACTCCATAAGGCCTCAAGAGGGTCAACAGAATCTCCCAGTTTGATATCGTCAGAAAACTTGCTAATAGTGCATTCAACTCCTGCATCCAGATCTTTGATAAATATATTGAACCCTGAGGAACTTCCCTGGTGATGAGTCACCAGCCAGATGTAGCCCCATTCACTACCACCTTTTGAGCCCTGCCCTTCAGCCAGATCCATACCCACTGCACCATGAACCTGCTCATCCCACACTTGAACAGGTGAAAGGGTGCTGTGAGGGACAGTATGAAAAGCCTTACTAAAAAGTCCAGAAATACTGCATCCACCACCTTCCCTTCATCCACTGGGCGAGGGACCTTATCATAGAAAGATCTTAAGTTAGTTAAACAGAACTTTCTCTTTGTGAACCCATGTTTTTGTGCCTGGTCATTGCATTGCTCTTTAAATGCCTTTCAGTAGTACCCAGTATAATCTTCTCCATAATTTTTACAGGAACTGAGGTTAGACTGACAGGTCTGTAGTTTCCTGAGTCTTCCCTCATGCCCTTCTTGTAAATTGGAATAACGTTGGCCAGCTTCCAGACAGCAGGGACCTCCCCAGACTCCCAAGGCCTTTGGATTGTGTTCAAGAGGGATCCTGCCATAACATCTGCTAGCTCCTTCAGTACTCTGGGATGAATCCCATCCAGTTGTGAACATTCAGCTGATAGAGCTGATCCCTCACAGTTTCAGTGTCTGCAGATAGAATGTTACTGTTTCCACACTGGTGGTACTCTGACTCAGGGGGGTGGGCACCCCAAGGTCTGTCGGTATCATTAAAGACTGAGGCAAAAAAGCACTGAATGCCTCTGCTTTTTCTTCATCCCTGTTAATCAGGTGACCATCTTCAACAAGTATCAGTCCAACATTTTCTTTCTTAAAAAAGCCCTTCTTGTTAGCTGACTCAGCACCAGCCCTTTCAACTCTAGATGATCTTTGGCCTTTTGCATCTTCTCCCTGCATAAATGAATCACAGCTGTGTAATCTCCTTACAAAGCCTGACCTCTCTTCCAGGGATCATACAATTTTCTTCTCCCCTTGAGCTCCACGAGGAATTCCTGTTCAGCCAAGTTGCTGTTCTGGCCCATTTGCTTGACTTAGGACACGGTGGAGTTGTGTGTTCCTGTACTTCTGAAAGGTGGTTCTTGAGGCTGACCAGCACTGACAGACTCCTAAACCCTCAAAAGCAGTTTTCCAGAGTACTCTGCTGAATTCTGTCTAACAACAGATAAGCTACAAGGGCAGTTTACCTTGGAGAATACCAATTCCCTAGTTTTGAGGCATATGACTCAAGATTAAATGTCTGTCTTACAGGCTGTGGGTCAAATTACAGTACAGTCCTCATTCACTGGGTACTTTCCAGCCTGTAAAGCAACCACTCTACAAATACTGCTGTGGTGCTTCATGCCTGCCCATTCCAGTTAGGTGTCAGCCTCTTAACTCTGCAGCAGAGCTGGCAAAAGGGTGAGGTTCTGGAAAGGCTTTAGTGATCATTCCTGGTGGGGATTTGTACTGTGGAGGAGGAGCATTCTGATGGGACAGCAGAGCTCTTACCTGCCAGCTCCTTGTTGGGGAAGTTTTGCTGACCAGAATGGCTCGGGCAGAGACACCTCCCCAGGCAATCCCTGTGCCCTGCATGCCCGCTTAGCTCTAAGTGCAGCTCTCCATCCAGTCTGAGAATTGATGGAGGGGGAAGTGAAAATCCTTGAGGCTCATTTTGAGTTGCAGAAGGATGTGGAATGGGGAGAGGAGATCATTTTTTTCTAGAAGTGCTTTGTTGTTGTTTGTTTTTGTTTCATAGCAGTCAGTACTTAACAAAATGACTAATCTTGCTTGTGACTCATGTCTCATTAGCAAGGATCTCCATGCTCATCTGTCAGGACTATAATCATGAGTAAAGAGTGGGGAAAAAACCTCTGAGCACCTTCAAACAGCAATTCTCCTCTTGCTGAGGTGGAGGAGGCTTTGTGTTGGTTTTGAAGCCATTTCCTTCCCTTCCTCCCTTTCACCTCAGTAGTCCCTGAAATCTCAGGACTTACCTCATTTCTGTTTCTGCTCAGGAGTCTTCCTGGGGAAGATGTGAACTGAAAATACGTTGCCTATGACCTGAAGAACTCTGGCCTTAGTCAAGGTTTTCTTTGTGGGACCCTTTAAAAAAAGGGTTGGGCAGGGGCCGTAATGAGAAGCTTGCTGGGCACAGCAGCCCTGGGGCTGAAGAGAGCTGGGGGACAGCAGCCCTCTCCTGCAGGGACACGCAGGGTCTGCACAAGGGAGGTCTTGCCCAGCTATCCTTGCTGGAGGAGAAAGCACCTCTCTCTTCAGTAAGCTGTTGGCTGGTCCTGCTCAGCTGCCACATCGGGAAGGGCTTTTTAATCTTTAAATGAAAGCTTAGATCCAGACTGATTGTGATCCCTGGAGTATGTGTTCCCTGGCAAGATGACTAAACCAAATGTTAATTGCTCTTGAAGTCAGCCTTTAATCAACTCGTCTTGGGTTCTGGCCACTGTATCTCAGTTAGGTAAAAACATCTCTTTAGCCTCGCAGAAAGCACTAGAGGGGAAAAAAACAAGAGAGTAAGACTTTTGGAGTGCCCTTGCTGGGTCAGTGTTAAGGCCATCTCCATGGAGGAGACTCTTACCTAAATAACTTTCCAGACTGCTGGAAAAAATCCTCTCCTCTTCTGTCATACTGATTTTCAAGTCCTCTGAGTGCTTTCGAAGCAATAAAGAATAAGCAAGGAGTGCAATGCTCTTTGCAGGGGTAGCTGGGGAGAAGTAGTACGCTGCTGCTCAGCGCAGGCACCAAACCGTGGTATCTCCTGATACATTCTTGTAGTGTGTTGGGATGAGCTGCAGCAGCTTTGTCCTCTCCCACACACCCCCTCAGCCGGTGTGAGGGTCTGTATGGGCAGCAGGGTACGATGCTGTGCCTGCAAGGTTGACCACAGAGGTACCTGTTGGTCTTGGCAGGCTGCATCAAGCCTTTGGGTTTTGTTTGGATCATGCCCAGCACCAGATTCGTGACAGTCAAGTTTGCAGGATGGCTTTGACGACAGCATTTTGCTCAGCACTCACCTCTCCCCTTTTGTCACCTCAGATCCCACCTTGCAGGTGGACACAGCCACCACCAACCTCACGGTGCAGGAGAAGGAGTCCTTCCCGCTGGACTGCAGCATCCTGTCCCGCTCCAGCCCGGAGTCCCACTTTGCAGTGACGTGGTACAGCCTGCGGGCCAAAGAGGCGGGTGACCACGCGGAGCAGCAGGAGGAGGAGGAGGAGGAGAGGGAAGCGGTGCTGAGCGTGGGCCCCGACGCCGTGTTCAGCCCTGAGGCCGGTCGCTGGGAGGGCCGCCTGCGCTTCCAGAGGCTCTCGGCGGTGCTTTTCCGGCTGACGGTGCTGCAGGCTGGCGGTGCCGACACAGGCAACTACTCGTGCCGCGTGGAGGAGTGGCTGGCAGACCCCAACGGCGTGTGGTACCGGCTGGCAGACGAGGAGTCGGGGATGGTCGCTGTTCACGTGCAGGATACAGGTGAGGAGGGGTGACGACTGCCTTGGGGTCACGGCCCTGGCATCCCCTGCGTCTTTGGTTCAGCCAAGAGAAAAAGGCCAAGGAGTTAAGTGGGACCTAGGTCTCACCTGCACCAGGGCAAGTCTGTGGTGCCAGTGCTTTTCCAAATCAGCTCGATGGCTCATTGCCCAGCTCTTGCTTTGGCTGGAGTATCCACACTGCACTGAGCTCTGTGCTGGGGCTGCCCAGACCTCAGCACTTACCACCTGGTGTGTCTCACTCAGTAGGGGCAGACTTTGTCCCCCACTGAGGTTTAACCCTTCCCTTTAGGACACACCCTGGAAGTTGGATTAGCTTTGCACAGAGGTGTAGGCTGTGGCACAAGAGTCTCAAGTGGTATAGAGGTCCCAGAGATAATTGAGGTCATGACGGTTTTGTGGGCCCCTAAGGAAAATACCCTTGGTCGTGCTGCTTTTGTGTAGCACCACTGAGGAAATCAAAGCTTTGCAAAGCTCCCTACTTTTTATAAGATATTGTAAAATCTCCACCAGGGAGGACTATATCACTCATTAAACTCTTGGGGGTAAAGCAGAAACATGCCCTGTGGTAACTTTCTTCTGGTGCTCTCTTTTTTAACACTTGTATTTTTCTCAGAGCCCCACTTCCTGCACTGACAAGGATTAATGAGCATCTGATTTTTAACTTCTGAAGAAGTTTGTATGCCCTGCATTGCAAACAAACCATGAAATGTGACCGTCCTGTGTCTCTTTCCAGGCTCCACTCTGCAGTCGGTCATCTGCTCCAACGATGCCCTTTTCTACTTCGTGTTCTTCTATCCCTTCCCCATTTTCGGCATCTTGATCATCACCATCCTCCTGGTGCGATTCAAGAGCCGAAACTCCAGCAAGAACTCAGAGGGCAAGAACGGGGTCCCCTTGCTGTGGATCAAAGAGCCCCACCTCAACTACTCTCCCACTTGCCTAGAGCCACCGGTGCTCAGCATCCACCCGGGAACCATAGACTAAAGAGGCAGAAGCACCTGGGGGGACGCACAGAGGGAAAAAAGCAGAGACACGCTGGGAACCCCAGAGCGGGTTTTGTTGTTCTTGTTTCATTTGTTTCCCTGTCTGTGCTGTGATGCAGAGGCTGAGCTCTGTGGAGTGCCCAGCCAGCAGGAGCAGGGAGGTCCAAGACTTTTCCCAGCACCCATGGAAATACACTCCCTCATCCCAATGGACAGAGGCACTTGCTGTACATAGCGGATGTTCCTCTCGAACTAATATTACTCCCATCAGTTGCTGTCTTTTGGGCTGTTACTTTTTTATCATTTCTTTATCAGTTGCTCAGAAAACTGTAGGTTTCCCCTGCTCTCCACACAGTGTGGAGTTCCCAGGGGTTGTTTGGTCCTGGGACAATCTCTTTGGAAGTAAGTGTATATGTTTTCCAAAACAGACTGTTTTTCCTTCTCAGACTTAGTGCCATGGTGAAGAAGGTCTTTTCCCAAGGTGTGCTCTTCCAAAACAGACAAAGCCAGGTCTATCCCCAGAGGGTTGACTGGGCTGTCTTCTGGGAGGTCCATTGCAAAGACTGACTGTAGCCTCATCATCTTCTTACCTCCACCTTACTGTTCTCTCAGGAGGGAGCAGTTCACCTTTTGGGAGCATTCCCAGGTCGTGGAGAGACTGAACATTCAGCGCGCTTGTGATCAGGACAAAAGCAGTTTAGTTTGTCTCAAAGAACTGAAGGGGTGAAAGGAAGGAGGACACCTGAAAGCCCTGACTTCGTTGGTAGCAAAGAGGGTCCTCATATGGTCCAGCTTACCAGAGTCATGCTCTTCCCTGGTGTCCATGCTGCCACCTCTGACGAGGCGGATCCCCTCTGTGCCCCAGTCGTTTGTGGATGGGAGGCTTGATCCAGTCTCTGAAGGCTTCAACATGACCAAAGTAATTACTCTAGGAAGGAGGAAAGGGGAAGCTCCACGGGTTGGGTTCACAGTCCCCGGATGGTTCAGCCAAAGGAGCCCAGTAGCAAACATGCCATGCAGTGGGGACATGCAGTTCACCACCACAGGTCACGAGTTTTCCTGTGGCTTGCACTACTTCCTGGTGCAAGCCTGGACAAGGCCAGGAGCCTGCAGCACATCAGCACCCTCGGGCTTCCCTGCTCCTTGGCCAAGAGAAATCTTCCCGTGTGTGTGTATGTGCATCTGCTGTTTTTCATTTCTGGGACTTCAGGAGGAAAAACCATTTCTCCATAAGCTCCCTCTCCTGGCAAAGTCACCTGCTCTTGTAAGAGCCGCTGTGGCAGGAAATGCTGTTCTTTCTGTGAAAGATATGGCTCTCATGAACCAAACCAGGGCTCTCGCCACGTGGGGCACCTGAACTCCTGTACCCCTGATGCCAAGAACCCCTACCCTGTCCTGTGGAGGAACCCGCCTCCTCCCCTGTACGACCTAAGTGTTACGTCTGGCGGAAGGAAATGTTTGCCAAAAATGGCCTTTTGTTGTCTTCCTCGATGTCTTCCTGGCAAATCCGGCCATTTATATTTTTGCATCATGGCTGAAGCCAACCAGGGGTGGACGGGCACAACCACTAGAGCACCCTGCCTCACGTGTGAGAGGTGCCATACTCACAGCCGTTATCCTCTCTGGGAGGGTTGGACTGCTCTTTGTGAACAGAGGGGACCTCAGCAGATGCTCTGTAGCACTAGTCAGACCCTGATGCCTTGGTGTTTCAGAGGTGGTGAGGCTTCAGGTAGGAGATCTGCACCACACAGCCTCTCTCCTGTCTGGGAGAGGACCCGCGTGGCTGCAGATCAACCCACCCTAAGGCATTTGAAGTTGGCCACCTCTGCGCCTCTACCAGAACAGCATTGGTTTCTTCTTCTGCTGGGAAGCCCAAATTTCACTTGTCCCTCTGTGAAGTCTGCCTCCTCGAGATGTAACCGCTTGCTGGCCCCAGCATATGCATAAAGTCACACTCCTGTATATGTATGTATGTATCGCACACCCGCACACTTGTCTTCCCTTTCTGACTGAGGTGTCTGCAAAGAGAGGAGTGGGATGAGAAGTGAATGGAAATGAAGAACCGAGGTGCAAACAGCAGCAGCTGCAGCCAGTGGGTATTATTTCATATGTACTATCTCCTGTACATACTGCTCCCGGGCAGGGACCGCGACTCATTCCAGCTCCAAGGAAGAAGAGCAAATGAAGACAAGAGGAGCCGTTCTTCCCTGGGAGAGCCCTGCTCTGCATCTGAGCCACGCTCCTCCTCGCCAGCCTGTCTGCCCCAGAGCAGGGCTCTCCTGGAAGGCTGTCCCATGGCCCCGTCCCCCCAGACGGAACGGGTCCCTTCCCAGCCCAGCGGTTCCTGCACAGAGCCCAGGCTGTCCTGGGAAGCAGCTCCCACACTGGTCCCTGAATGTACCTTGCCAGTGACATTTCTCCATTGCTCTGGCAGTGTGTTGCCCAGTCTCAAACTTCTCTGTGTTTTTATAAGGCAGACTCTTCCTGTAACGAGTTTTAATGCGGAGCTTTTCAAACCACTCTCTCTGCTGTAACTTTCTGTAACAAACCCGAGAAGAAAGAGAGATACCCTATCCATGCATGATGTGGAAAAATGTTTGGGATTTTTTTTTTTTTTTTAAAGAAAACAACAAAAACTTTGTACTATGTTGCACTAAAACATGTTTTATACAACACACTCGAGAGCTGTAGTAAACTGTGTTGAAATTGTGAATCCTATTGCTGCTGCTTTTTGTCAGATTTGGTGTCTTATTATGCCTTTATGTGCACTCCCTGCATAAAGGTGCAGAGTCCCCCTCTGGGGCAGCCTCTTCCACTGCCACTATTCCTTGATGCATTAACTCCCCTCCCACCCTGGTAGAGCTTCTCCTCTCTTGCAGGTTGGAGCTTGCAGAAACCTTGCACCCTCTGACTCTTCATACTTCTCCCTTCCGCCTCCCTTAATTCATACCATAACAGAATATAACATTTAAAAGAGGCCTGTCAGGTCTTTTTGAATGGGATACACTGTTTTTGAAGTGCTCTGAAAACAGTAAGTGCTTTGCTGTGTCATAGTCTGGATTTGAAGAAAAAACTTTTTTTATATAGAATTATGCATAGCAAAAAATGAAGCAAATAATCTTTAGTAACATTGATGAAAGCAGAAGAATACAGTTCACTACAGAAGTTGATGCAAAATGCAACCTGTTAATTCTCATTACCCACTTTTACTGTGAGTAAGGATTTGATCAGGAGTCTTGAATTCCCACACTGACTGAAATGGGGAAGTAGCATGATGCATCCCTACCTGTACTGCAGAAGTGCTGTGGAATTGTGCAAAATGCACTGCTCACACAGGTCGGGTTTGGGGGGTTTTCCACATTCATTTAAAACAAAAAAATATTCTCTGCTAAATTAATATGAGAAAACTCTTTGTTATCCTCTATTCTCCCTGCAGTAGGTTGGTTGCCTTGGGCTGCATCTGCTCTAGTCTCTATGCTAAGCAGCAGAGGTTTTAGCTCCACAGATGCTCAGTGCTGCAGCAGTGTGTCCCTGTATCAGGTGGCAAGCTTGGGCCAGAGCTTTGCCAGGAGGCATCTCTGCCAGCCCACTGTAGCCTCTCTGTGGTCGGGTGTGCATCCCTGATCCCCTGGCATGCTCCTATGGGCAGGACCCTGGTTTGGGGCAGCCTGAGTGAGTTTTGCTGCCTGTCCCGCTGCTGCAGCAGGACCAGTAGTGCTGCAGTGGGTGCTCCTGCTCCCCCTGAGGACCATGCAATGCGCAGCCGCCCTGCAGTGGAGGAGGGATGTGTCAGGGCTTGGCTGCTCAAGGGACCGCTGTGTGCTTGCATCAAACCACCTTGTGACTGCTTTCCCCCACTCACCAGCCCCAACAGAGAGCCCACATGGCCTCCCCACTGAAGCCAACACACACACGCAGAGAAAAGGCTCACAAGCTTTAATCCAGTGGGTCTGCAGAGCGAGCCAGGGTGGCAGGGGGTAAGTGTGCCCGTGCCCCCCCCTGCCTAGACGAGCTGGTACAAGCCCTCGGCTACCTTCTCTAGGCGGTCCTTGTACTCCAGGTGGGCGTAGAGGGGGAGGGGAACCCCCTCGAAGCCGTGTATGACCCCCCACCATCCAGCCGCGATGACAGCAGTGGAGTCGCTGTCACCCCCGTGGAAGAAGGCGCGGTGAGCCAGCTCAGTCCAGGAGTCCCCCGCGCCCAGCAGCGCGTCGTAAGCGATCATGGGGGCGTCGTGCCCGCTGCTGCCCGCCCAGCCGTCGTAGCTCAGGGACGAGTAGAAGTCGTCCCTCTCTTCCACGCCGTACTTGATGGGGAAGGTGGGCATCGAGACCCCGTCTGATATGCCCCTCTCCACCAGGTATCTTTTCCATTGGTCTTCAAAGTAGTACCTGTAAAACAGGAGACAGGATGGAGTGGCTGTAAGAGCTGTCCCAGGGCAGGAGCACATACCTGAGCTCTGTGCGGGCCAAGAGCCCGCCAAGAGCCCGGCAACAACGGCTCAGCAAAATGGTAGGTGTCACCCCCTTGTCAGACTAGGGACATGATTTACAGTAAGAGGCACAAGGACGTGTTTCAGTGAGTTAGATTTCCCCTCCCTCCAGCCACATGGGAGAAGGCAGCTTGGCACCTGCTGCTGTCGTGCTGCACAGGATTCAAAGGCTCAGAGTGAGAGCTGAGTCATCCTCCCAAATTCAGAGTAACTCTACCTCTGTGCCCCTATGGATCTGCAGCCACATTTGATTATAACTTTCAAACTGAGCTCAGCCCTAAGCATGATGCTGTTCCCTAGGCCCTCCTGCTTCACCTCTTTCATTAGATCACTTGCTTGAGATGACAAATCTACCTACCTCATACCAGATCCAAAAAAAGTCACAACTACATGACTCAAACACAATCTGCCTTTTTCTTTTTTTCCCCCCAAGTTAGAGATAACTCTGAACTGATTTGATCCCACGGCAGGCATGTGCTGCTCTAGGAGTTTACCATAACAATTACTGACACTTCAGGATAAACAGAGCTCGCCCTGCCGCGCAGGGGCTTTAGGGAAAGGCGGTTGCTGGGAGCGTGGCTCACCAGTGCTCCATGTTCTCCTTCACGAAGAAGCCGCTCTCCTGCACGTAGGCTTTTGCCTGCGGCAGCACGTCCAGCAGCCCCTTGCCCCAGGCCTGGAGGGGCACGCTGTTCACTGCGTAGGCCGTGAAGAGAGCCGAGGCCAGGGCCCCCAGGTAGCCCGTGGGGTGGTGGTGGGTCATGCGGCCGCTCTCGATGCTGACTTGCAGCAGGGTGTCCAGCTGCTCGGGGCGGTAGAAGCGCAGCCCGATGCACATGGCACGCATGGCACCCCCGCAGCCTCCCGCCCGCAGGTTGAACGGGATCCTCCAGCCGTTTGGCTGCTCCGGGTGCAGCTTCATTGTGCTTTCCATAGACGTGACACCTGGACAGGAGCGGCACAGCCCAGGAAAAACAAAAGGAAAGATGCATCAGTAGGACATAGGATCACACAGCTTGGGAACTAGGGGAAGACAGGAAAGGTAGTGGGGAAGGAAGCATTACTCTGCATAAGGGATTCGAGATTCCTTTTAAAAATATCAGTTGTCTGCACACGTAGGTATCCTGCCTTAAACTGCTAGAGCATATTGTATCCTCCCAAACAGACATGATAATTACTGCTTGTGAAGATAATTTAAAAGTCCAGGAGGTAAGAAGCACTCCACTGATGATTTACTGGCATTGTTTATGTTTACATTTCATGTTATTTAATAACTTATCTATAAAATATATACACTAATAGATTAGATATGTACACATCTCTCTCTATCACCCCTTCCCCCCCTCCCCAAAAGGGTCTGTAGGATCCCTAACACAAGGTAAGTCTGAGTAACTCCACTTTTTCAGTTGTTTAACCTCTTTAAAAGACCTTTTAAAGGAGGAAGACTCCACAAGCTCCTCAGGAATCTCTCCCATTGCCTCACTGATAAGAAACATTTTCCAGCTCTCCCTTGCCAAAGTTTAGGTTTGTCAGAAAGCCTTGAATGTAGCACCTCCCTCACCTCACCATGGTCTCTTCCATAAGCTGAAGAACAACTGCACTAGGTGAGGCCAAGGGTTTGTCCAGCCCCCTAGCTCGTCTCCAAACACTATCCACTAACAGATAACTGTGGAAAAGCTATAAAAAATGAGGCAAGTACAGTGTTTCCCAAAAACCCACTTGGCTTTCAGCAGGCACAGAAGCATAGCCTGCTTGAGTCAGAAGATAAATCCAAAGTGAACACACATTCAGTAAGCCTCAGTAGACTGAGCCACCATAACCAGTCTCCTGCGCTTGAGCCCATGCAAGCCTTCAGACTCCTTTAACATCCCAGGGTAACCAGACCCACAGTTTTGCTCTGGAAGGTGTTTCCTTTAGTTTTAAACCACCATTAGGCAATTTCCTTAAATTCCCCTCTAACCCTTAAAAGAAGTATCGACTTTTCATGTTCTTGCTGGAACTTCGAGAAAAACCTTTCTTCAGGACATGTTTGGGCAGGTTGAGACCACACACCTCAGTCCTTGATAAAAAGTGAGACTGTTCTTGCATTAACTGTAGTTAAAATGAGGAAGATGACAAGGTTTTAAGGCTAAAGAAAGACTGGTTCTTTTCCATTACAATTTGCTTGCAGCTTTAAGCCTGTGCATATCATTTTAGGAGATGACTACTGATTACTTGCAAGTGGAAAAATTGTGTAAAACAAACCAACATATGACAGCTAAGACTCTTGAGGATTTATGAAGTATTACAAGTATTATCCTCATGCTTTTAAACAGTTAAAATATTAAAACATTTGAAAGCCGATTTAGGAAGACTAAGCTGAAATCACGTCAGTTCTCTTTTTAAAAACAAGTTTTTTAAAAAAATGCTGTAGGAGTTTTTGAATCAGGAAATTGTTTTAGAAATCCACCAAATCCTGTTTAGGAATCCTTTGTACTAACAATAGGAAACTAAAAGTAACCTGAGGGGGATTCTGGTCTAAAGAAAGGAGAAATACAAGTAAAAAGCAGTGTGTGAAGAAAGGCAACCTGAAAAAGTTTCAAGAACAACTTGAAACACTATTTCTGGAATAGGCTTCCAGTCCACTTATCTAGACTCTTCATGAGCACAGACAGTAACAGTTGTTTGAGATATATCAATACACATAAAAAAAGGTGAGTTGAAACAACCACATAGTGGTAAATAATTCCACAGGGAGAGGACTTGGACTGAAAGAGTTTTGAAGCAGAAGGCTTCCTGGAGAGGCAGATGTAGTTTGTACCTCTAAAAAAGAAGTACCTCCATGCCTGTGTTGCTCAATTCATTGGCTTTGTAATCTGCAAGGAACAATGAATTTGGGGTTGTGGCGCATCACATATAGCAATGATGGGCTATTGTAGGGATTAACCTGTCGCTGAACTAAAATAGTGAGTTCACTCCTGGGGCTGCATCCCTGAGGGACCCTGCTGTGGCTGCCCGATGACTCATAACATTGTGGGAATCCCTTTGTTGCTGCAGGTTTGGGTTTTCAGGTCTGGACTCCCTCATGTGGGCGATCAGTGTGACTTTCCCCTACTGTTTTAGGGAACTCTCTTCTCTGTTTGGTGAAAGTTCCAACAGCAACTTTCCATGCTCAGCCTTCAGGGCTACAATTCCCCAGTGAGTACTTACTTAGGCCAGAGCAGCACCAGCATGGTTTATGTTCTCAGTTAAAATCCATTTATTCTGAACTGCCAAAACAAGTTACTGGCATGAAACTTCTATCATTAGGACCTATCAATATGGCATGGAGACTCCAGACTGCAGACAGCTTTTGAGATATGGATTAGGTATTCCCTTTGATAGCACATCAGTGGGCATTAAACTGCTAAGGGTCAGGATTTAAGCTCTCAGAACTGAGTGCCTTTCCTTTGGCTGCATCAGGAACCATCCAGGAGGCTGTTGCAAAAACATTCCCAACAGACTTCCATTTTTTCCACATTTCTTTCCCCACTTCCCCAAAAATTTTACGATTTTCAAGTGTCCTTGGACCCACTAAAGAATGTGCATTTCTTTCTTTAGCTAGATAACCTGACCTTTCCTTATCACTCCACTTCATACCAAATTAGCTTTCAAATTCTTCACTTCCAAATGGGAGCTGCTTTTGGGCATATTGCAGTTCAGTTACTCCCAGAAGGACTGCAGCAGGTGTGCTGTTATCCTTAGCTATTAATTACTAACATTTAAATTTTAGGTCCTTTTCATTTCAGGGTTTAGTCACCAAGCTTAAATAGTGAAGATACCTTCCAGGTGCTGTCTCACTCCCTGCTGTGGTTAGTCCACCCTGGCAGACCCCACCAGCTGGGGAAACTAAATGATGCTCCTTTGCCAAAAGAGCAGTGAATCCCTTGGAAGTTTAACCTGTCAACTCCTGCTATCCTGACAAGCATCATTACTCCTTCCTAAACATTTTATTAATTAGGCCAACATCTGGAACTACCTATGTTAAAGAAGACTGATAATTTAATTCTTTACCCATGGGTAGGAGGTCGCTGTGGAAAGGTAAGCAGAATAAATTCCTGCTCAAGTCTCCAACCTAGTTTATTTTGGAATACGGCAATGCAGGATTTGGCCTTTCCCACGTTTAATGTCACGAAAGAACATTCTTCACATATTCTGGCCACTCCAAATAAGCATGTCCAGGCATACATACAATTCCGATGTATAAACTTTGCCTAGGATTGCTGAATTTGAGTGTTTCCTGGATACTTCATGCTTCCTGCACTAGTCAGATTAGAGGTCCAGCCTCAGCAGCTCCAATTTAATTCAAGCATCCAGAACAGGCTGGGCCATGGGCACAGTGACAGATAGGATCCTCAGGGAAGAGCTGGGTCAGCAGGTCTGGGTGAATTAGGAACTTTAGGGATACGTTGTACACGGCATGGCTACTGCAGCCTGTGAATGTGCCCTTCCTGAATACTGCCAGGCCCACTGCCTGTGACACAGACTCAGCAGCACTGTGTCTGTGCAGAGAAAAGATGGAAATACAGGGTTCAGGGAAGAAGACTGTGGCCTGACTGTCCCATTGCAGAAAGTAGATGTGCCGAGCAAGCCACAAGCAGACTTTGGGCAAAACAGTATCTTTTCCACCTACTTCAGGAGAAGCCTAAGCCACTCCAGATTGCCTTATTCTGTCCTCTTTAGCTCATCCTGAAATGGGTACTGAGCATAGAATACTTTTGCCTTTAGGTGAAAGACAGTTAACGCTACGAACAGCCAAAAGCAGAGCCAGGGCCAGCCTCGGCTCCAAGATGCGGGAGAGACATCAGCGAGAGCACAGCCCTGCCCAGACAGTGTGATGGAAGGGTTACCTGGAGCTCTGCCCTCCATGTCATTCATGCACTCCTTGTAGTTCTTTGCAAGCAGAGAGTAGAGACGCCGTAACGTGGGCTTTCTTCCGGCAGCTACGAGGGCTTCGGCCGTGGCCAAGTGCATCACTGTGTCATCGCTGACTCTCCAACCGTCGATGCTCACGTTGCCGAGTCCCCCCATCTCTGCCAGCTCCCTGTGGATGGCTGGGCCACTCTGCTCGAACTCCCACTTCCCATTGTAATAGCCCAGCGTGTCAGCAACTCCGCTCAGCACCATCGATGCCACATAGTTTTCCAGCTTCTTCGGACACGTTTTTTGACCCCGGACTGATTCAAAGTAGAAAACTCTAGGGAAGGGGGCGGGGGGGAAGAGAGGGACATTGAAAATAAAGTCTTTCCCACTTCAGTAAGGGCCTGTACTGCTTAGCTCCAGCAGGCTGGATACCCTGCCTAGCACCCACGTCTCACTCAGAGGATCTCTTTCTTCACAGCACATTGCTTCCCTGTGCACCCACCGTGGGGAAGTGCTCCCAGACAGCCCAGCCCTGGGTCAGGGGCAGCCAGACATGTCCCGCCCCAGACAATGCCAAGTGTCGTTCCTCGCTGAAAGGTCAACACCCAAGGGCAGGACTTCAGAAGTATGTGCAGGTTATGTGACCGCAATCATGTTCCCCACCTTTTTAAGGGCAGCCAGCTCAGAACTGCACCCAGTGACTTTTGTACTCTGGGGTAAGGCAAGGCTGTTCCTCAGGACAAAAGCAAGGGGTATGGGTTAAGTATGGAAGTAAGGTGAGGATGACTGTGGAGAGAGGCTGATTCTCAGGGGTACAAAAGTAAGGGATGTATGGATAAGTATGGGGTGAGACTGACCCTCAGGGATAGAAAAGCAAAGGGTGTGGGATAAGTATGGAAGTAAGGAGGGGCTGACCCTCAGGGGTACATAAGCAAGGGATGTATGGGGCAAGTATGGAAGTAACGTGAGGATGACAGTTGGGGGTACAAAACCAAGGGACTTATGGTATAAGTACGGAAGGAGAGGCTGACCCTCAGGGGTACAAAAGTAAGGGATGTAAGGGTAAGTATGGGGTGAGACTGACCCCAGGGGATACAAAAGCAAGGGGTATGGGGTAAGTATGGAAGTAAGGCAAGGCTGACCCCCAGGGTACAAAAGCAGGGGAGGTATGGGGTAAGTACGGGGTAAGGCGATGCTGAGCTCCTCGGCTTCGGCAGGGCCGGGCCATGGCGGTAACGCGCGGCCCTGTTGCTCCGGCCCACAACAGCCGGGTGCTCGCACAGGCAGAGCTCCCACCCCACTCCCCAGGCTCGGGGTTTGCTTCCCGCCCTCACTCGGGACAAGCGCAGGCGGGGCAGGGCGGCGGGGCCAGCCGAGCCGTGCACCCGCGACCACTGTCCGGCCCCAGCGGGTACTTACACAGCGAGCCCTGCCACCGCCCCCAGCCCAGCGAGCACCGCCAGCGCGGCCAGCACGTACCGCCGGGGGCTGTGCCGGCCCGGCAGCCACGGCCGGCCCGGAGACATCGGGCACGGCGCGGCCTCGGCGGCCCCGCGCGGCCTGGGACGCGTCTCCCGCTCCGCCCCGTCCCTGACAACCCACCCGGCCGCCGCGGGCCCCGCTCGGCGCAGGCGGGGGCTCGGCCCGGGCCGCGCTGTGTCCGCTTTCATTTTCCGGAGCGCCCTCGGGAGCGGCAGCCGCGGCTCTCGGAATCGAAAGCGGGCACGTGGGAGATGAAGTCACTGCGTGGAATGGGACTGATTAATGGAAAAAAATTAAAATGGGGTAAAAATGAAAGGCGCGCTCAGCATCTCCCCTGCTCGCTGGTTGCATGAGCGGCTCCCTCCCTCTCTCCCTCCTCCTGGCTGAGCCCCTCCGGGGTGGTGGGAGCAGAGTCCCGCTCAGTGCCTGCGCTGGGGACAAGACCTTTCCCCGGCCTTGGTTTGTTTCCCCTCCTTTTAGCAGCCTGAGCAGAACCTCCAGCCTTTACCTTTGCTCATGTGCCTCTCTGCCCCCTCAGAGGATCATCAGTGTTGGAAGAGACCCTCAAGATCATCCAGTCCAACCATCCGCCCAGCATCATTACTGTAACCCCTAACCACTAAACCATGCACCCAACACCAGATCCAGACATCTCCTGAACATCTCCAGGGATGGTGACTCCCACAACCTCCCTGGGCAACCTATTCCAATGCCTAACCACCCAAACAGTCAAAAATTTTTTTTTCTAATATCTAATCTGAATCTCCCCTGTCTCAGTTCAAGGCTGTTTCCTCTAGTCCTCTCACTGTAGGTAGAAGAGACTAGCCCCCACCTCACTACAACCTCCTTTCAGATAGTTGTAGAGAGCCTTTCAGGTAGTTGTAGAGAGCGATGAAGTCTCAAGCCTCCTCTAGACCATCTCCTTCAGTGAGACAAACTCCTTTGGTGTTTGAGGCCAGCACTCTTCCCACAGCCCCAGTGAGGCCCAGCTCAACTCTCTGGTGACCCCAACCTCTCCCACACCAGGTCTGGTCTTTGCTGTGTCCCGTGGTGCTGCTTTATGTAGGGTCCTGAGGTGCCTGGTGATCCCATCGCCTTGTTTTATCCTTTGTTTTTAGTGATGGTATTGGCCAGTTGGCTGAGGGAATCTAGTCAGTGGATGAGGAAGAGACAGGAGCACAAATCAGGACCAAGAAATAGGACAGAGCATAGCTAAGCTTGCACTTTGTGGAGGACCAATTTTTTTACCAACTGGCAGTCACTTGACGTTCTGCTCGCCAGTTCTTCAGAGCCCTGGTTCACCCCTGAAGGTACCAGCACCTCTTACATGAAGGGAAAAAAAAAAAAATCCCCCCTGGATGCCTATGAGAGAAAGCCATGGTATTTTTTGAGCTGCACCCCTGGGGGATTTCAAGGCAATCACAACTGTAGCTCTGGGTCAGAGCAGAGTCCCTGGGGAATTTGGGGGCAAGTGAGAGTGGAGGGCTGGAGTAGGGGTCCTGGGAATTCAGGTAGCTGAGAGCACGGTACTGTGCAGGAGTAGTTTGGTATGCCATGCCCATTCATATCGGCAGCCTCTGAAGCCTGCTGCAAATGTAGAGTTTAAGAAGCATCTGGTAAAGAAAATAGTAACAGAAAAGGAAGTGGGAAAAGAAGCTGACAGTGTTTCAACACTGCCAGCAGTGCCTGCTGACCTTTTGTGTTTCTCTGCTTCATTTTTTTTTCTCTAGAACAGCTCTGAATTTACTTAGGTTGGTGCAATGCTTAAAGGCAAAGTGGGGTTTTTGTCTCCTAAGGTTTGGGCCTCTGAGAAGGAAACTTTTGTCTTGCAGTCTGTGAGTAATGGGTTTTGCTCCAGCCTGAAGGGCAGAGGAGCAGAGAGGAAAGTTGCAGGGTTTCTCAAAAGGAGAGAAAGATGGGAGAACACCTCTATGTCAGCAAAAAAAATGCCTTTGGCACTGGGATGTTTGGATTTCATCGTTGCTTCCCATTTCCTGAACTCTTTCAGCTTCCTCAAAAATGAAACCAAGGTGCACAGTGCAGTTTAGTCACATCTGAGATATATCACAGAAAAATGTTGAGGGCTCCTCACCGACATTCAGTGGAGGATGAGCCAGCAGCAGGAACCAGCAGCAGGAGCCTGCAAAGCATGGGTGGGGAGAGCAGCAGTCTTCAGGCTTTGGGATCTTTGATCCCAAAGGGATCTCCTTGTGTAAGCCCTATGGGATGCCCACAAGTGGACAAGGAGAGCATTCTCCATCAGGGAGCACCTCCAACTCCAAGATGTTGCAGGGGAGCATTGTCCTGGCTGAGCCCATGGCAAGGGGAGGTGGGCATGACTGCTCCCCGTTTGCAATAATGGCCTTCCGGTGCTGAGCTATGCAAAGAGTTGAAGGCTCACCATGTTGCACCATTCTGGGGGTTTTGTTGTATTTTTTTTAATGAAAATTTAGGCTGCATTGGACCAGTGGCCAGGATATGCCTTCTGGAAAGTACCACCTTGGAGCAGCTTGCTGGCATGCCCCTGCCTTGTGTTGGACCCTGTGGTTAGCATTTGCTTAGACTCAGAATTTTCCTTTATATTCATCTGGAAAAAAAAGGGTAATTCTTTCTGACTAAAAAAATTTAACTTTCTAGATAAGTCCAGGGTTAAGGGTTCCTATTCAGGGGGGCTGTGAAGTGCAGCACTGCAGCACTGAAGCTGCATAGTGGTTTAGACCCTGTGGGACATTTCCTCAGAACTACATGAGACCTTCAGGCCAGGTGTTGAACACTAAAAACGCATGGTGCACTTCTCAAACAGATCCTACAGCTGTCCCCAAAACAGGACTGTAAAGGAACATCTGGAATTCTCATTTATCACCTTTCCTATTCATCTTCTTTTTGCCCCCACAAGGTTCAAAGGTACCTTTCCACAGGACCTTCTGGGTCTCTAAAACATGTTCATCCTGCACCAGTGCCAAACTCTTAACAGTCTCTCATTCTTTTAACAGTCCATTTTTCTTTGTAATGAGAGCAGGAATTTTTTTATTTGAGTGGGGAATATTTCTGGGCTTACCCCAATTCTCAGTCCCCAGGTGCATGTCTGTCTTTGTCACTGGCCAGTGACAAAGATAACAATCTACTGTAACAGGGGCATTCAAAGCAGGGGCAGCAAACACCACGTGAGGTCTGCTTGGGACCAGCAGCTCGGTGAGGCAGCGGTGCATGACCCTGGTGCATGTGTGAGGGAAGCACTCGCTGTTTCAGGATGCTCAGGGCTGCTGTGCTCACTCTGGCTGGATGTTTGCAGCAGGGAACGGGCACCCAGCAGCAGCAGGTGCTTCTGGCCCTGCGCTTCCTTCACCCAAGGACAGGGCCTTGCTTTCTCCAGCTAACCCGGGTAGGGTGACCCTCACTTCTTGCCTGACATCCGGTGGTAATGGCATCCCTCCGTGCTGTCCAGAGTAGCATGGGTGGTGAGAGCTTTGGCTGCAAGTACAGCCTGAGCCTGAGCAAAACCAGTTGCAGAGGCTTTTGCCTAGACATGGGAACCTGTGTGGAATAGTGGGAGAGGAATTGAAAGGCTCGGCTGAAGCAGGTTCTGGACATGGCAGCAGAAGAGGTGCCTCTGGGCAAGCAACTTGGTTTGAGGGAGTACTGGACTTTGGTCTCTTATTGGAGAAAGCAGATTTCATTGAAGAAACAGCCACCTCTTTCTTTCCAGGCTTGTCTTCTTCCACAAACTGTCTGAGAGCAGGCCTGACTCATTGCCTAGGGCAAAAGGGAAATGGTGGAAAATCAGTGTGATCTGTTCATTGTGGCACCTACCATTGTCCTCAGGATGCTTCCAGAAACCATCTTTAACACAGACTTAAAAATAAAATTTAAAAAAGTACAACAGAGTCTAGCTTTTTCAAATAACCATAAATCTGCAAGGCAGAAGATAAGCAGGGTAATTGCTTTACCACATATAGAGGCACTACAATGCCATATTGGGACAACCAGAAAGGTCAGGGACACAGGAAACATCTGTGGTGAGCTGAGGGCTGTGATCACTTCTGCCTTGTCCTCATCTAACAAATGGAACTGCAAACTCATCCTTACTGCCCCTTTGTCAGGTTTATAACTGACATGTTGGCCAATGAGAGTGTGTGGATCCAGAGGCCTCCCTAGTAGTCTCGAAGTCCTGCTTCTGAGCCTGGGGCCATCAGAGAAGCAACCCTGGATGATTCCTGTGGAGCTGGGATTTGGCTGAAGTGGTGGATCTGAGGCTCCAGGCCTGACAGGCTGGTTGCTCCTTGATGTAAATCCAGTGACATTTTCGTTTTGGGTTGTATGCCAGTGCTGGCACTGTGCTCTCCACCTGCATGGTAGCAGTGTCTGAGGGTCTGTGTTGTTGTCCCTTCTGCTGCTTTGTCTCCATGTGCTGCTGGCAGTTGTGTCCATATCCTTTCTGAGAGTATTGGGACTGGGGGAGTCCATCGGAGGGGTGTTGTGCCTGTAAGTAGAGGGGTCCATCAAGCCTGCCTTACACTCAGTCTCAATTCACCATACAGCACCAGCAAACTAAACTTGGAGGTTCTCAGCAATGAAAGTAAGCCCTAGTGGGATGTGTTGGGTTAAATGTGGCCATCTGCTTAACAATGGGAGGGAAGAAGGTTGCGTCACAATATAGGTTTTGAAACAGTGATGCTCTTCCTGCATTGTGCAAGCAGCCATGCTTGATGTGTTGGATGTACTTTCTGCTTTCAGAGCAGGTTTCTCCTTTCTGTGGGAAAAGACACATTCTGAGGAACAAAGTTGCAGTCTGCAGTGTAGAAAAGATGTGTCAGGTGCGAGGAGTATGAGGAATAGAGCCACAGGAGAGGGAGTTTGGCCTTCTGGGGCAGAAAGCACGTTGAGTCTTGCAAGCCCAGCCATAGCTTTGCTGAGGTTCTGGTCTTACAATAGCAGCAGATGTGGCCAAGCATGTATGGTTCACACAGGCAGCGTGTGCTTCTACATAACAGCCAAGGAAAATCAACCACTGTACTCCTCCAAAAAGTGCTGCTCCTCCTCTTTCCCTCCAGCTTTCCCCCTCCCAGCTTCATGCATCCA